AGAAAGCGGAGATGAAGGTTGTGCTGACGCAGCTCGCGGCTTGATTGATCTTCTCCATGGAGGTGGTTGCGGTTACGGTGGAGTTGATCGAGGCGCTGCTGATCATGCTGGTGGATTTCTCCATTGCCTCCTACCGATCCGATCTAGGGTTTCGGAAGACGAGGATCGGAGGTGTGGGGAAATCTTGGATTTGATTGGGGTGGAGATTTTTGGCGATCTGTTGAAAAGCCGAGGCAACCCGCATTTGACGGGGTGGAGATTTGATATGAATGTTATAAATAGATGGAGTAAAGTTATTTGGTATTGACGAAATGTCAAACAAGCGCATCTGGTGTAGTGGTATCATAGTACCCTCCCACGGTACTGACCAGGGTTCGATTCCCTGGATGCGCAGCACTCTTTTTTATTTTTGACTTATTTTTCTTAAATTTAGATGATTTCTTTGTTATTTTGATGTACTAGCTGTATCTATTTCATAAAATTTTTCATCTTTAAGAAAGTTCGACTAAACTAGTAATTTAGCATACTTGTTCTAATTTTTGGTTTAACAAATTTTCTTTTCAACATAAAATGTCGTCCAAACTTCTGATCTAGTAAAATTTAGAGATAAACTTTAATAGTAAGAAAACCCGAACTTGTAAGTGTTAGGCTAGGCATACATAGAAGCCTAACATGCAAATAAAAAAACCATCCAATAGAAGCCATGCAAATAAAAAAACATCCAACTATCCAACAGCTTATTCATATTTTATTTATTTGTTGGCCTAAATTATCCAATATAATTTTATGTCCGCAGGTGCAGTCAATTAAAAGAGTGTTATTGAACGATTAACATGATTTTGCTTCCTGTAGACCTTAACCCATGCAAAATTTCGTTTTTTTCTTTCTTTCCGTGATTCATGTTTACAATTTCAAAATAACAATACAAAACATGGTTGGAGTTAGTTTTCAACTACAATTTACTCCTAACCTCACTCTCCCACTTAGAGTTACAAACAAATGTTTTTTCTTACACCTTTGTTCCCCCATAAACATTCTTTGCTTCTTCCTCAACCCAAACCCAAGAACAAAAACAAACAACTCCTAAACAGTAACAATATTCCCAAAAAAAAAACTATTTACAAAAGAGTCACAATTCTCCGGTGCTCTCACAAGAGCTACCGAGGTTCGTTGTTACATCATGCACCAGGAGCCTTACTATATTACTACCAGAAGATCTAGGGATCTCTAGACAATCTTGAAGATCAACATCACAAGCTATCAAAACCCACTCGTTATCATCGTCCATATACTTGATATCAAACGTACCTGCGTCAAGTTTCAGCCTCTTCGCCACTTCGTCCTTCAACTCTATTATACCCGAACCAGATGATATCCTGAACCGTATTATGTTTTCTTTATAACTTGCTTTAATCGTTACCGTTCTCATTTCTGACCCTGATGGTTCACATGTAGTATTCGCAACGGCCTCTTCCTTTGCAGGAGCATACATGCTGTTGCTGTTATTATCATTGTTCATCCAGTTTGGTTCTGGAAACTTATCGTCGAATGGTTTAGATGAGCAGAGGTTTCTAAGATCTTTTGAGCTTCCAGCGTCTATAGTACCAAGAAGTCTGTTTGGCATTGCAAATGATGCTGCAGATACATCATGATCTCTAGAGTAAGGAGGAAAACAGTGTCCATGAGATGCACCGACCGTGAATAGCGGATCTTGGTTCGGGACCTTTATTTCGTCTAATTGGTTACCGTCACATGAGCCGTGAGAGGTCGGTGTCCCAGCGCTCTCATCCCGCTTGTGACCATTGCTTGGTAACTCAGGTGAACCATTTGGCTCCTGAGGACTGTGATCACTTGACCAGTGGTTAGGTGAATGATTGGTGTTTGGTAGCTCTGGCGGGTTGGAACCGTTCGGAGAGTTTAGTGGCTGTGCTGCTGTGTGGCCGTTTCTCCAAGGGATGGAACTAACGGCCATGGAAGTTAGGTCGAGGCCTCCATCAGTACATTGAACAGATTCTATGACACGTTTCAGCTTTGTGATTGAGCGATTCACTTTCTTGATCTTTCTTGATGGCCACCGCGAGATGCCGTGTTGTCTGCAAATTCGCTTCATTGTCGTCGGACATACTGAGACAAGAACAATACATAGTTCAGTTAAAATATCTATAACCAGTAACTAACCAAAATTACAGAGAACATATACTACCTCCTAGGCTCTTTGCAGCATCTTTGAGACTCCCAGTGAAATATTGCTGAAGTACATCAAGACTGATTGTTTTCTCAGTCTTCCCACGCTTCTTCTCTGTTTTCTTCTTCTCCTTAACCACACCATTTACAGTGGCCACGTTGACTTTCCCGTTCACTGGATTAGAAGTCTGAGGAATCAACAGCCTCTCTGTCGCGTCTGAATTGAAACCAGAAAAGGGAACTCGAATGGATTCTATTGTTGAATGAATCTTCTTGTCCGGTAACGCTTGGATGATTTCAAAAGACAATTTATCGTCATCTTCACCAAAGTCAACACCAGATGCAACCCTCAGGCTCTGAAAATGTTCTTTCATTGTCACCAAAAGAGATCCCAGCAGAGAATCTTGCTCTTGGTCGTCTGTTATACTCGAGGGGAGAAAGAACTCAAGAATGTAACTGTCGTCTCCTGTGTAAGAACTCTGGAGAGAAATTGCAAAACAACTGGTTAACTTGAACATCAGCGCATAATGGACCAGCGGATACTGCGTTTTACAGAACCTGGTGATGTCTCTACAGAAACACGAGCCACCGTTGAGAAAAGCTCGTCCAGCAACTCCCTGTCCTTTCTGGAGATGGTGTTCAAGGCAGGCGTCTCTAAAGCCCCAGACATGAGCGTCCACGACATAGCAGGCCATGTGGGTTGTGGACATGCAGACTTGGCCCATGCAGCTACCGTCAAAACTGGTGCAGTTTTTCTTTAGACCGCCACCATTGGCGAGAACGCTTCCATGCTGGCATGGAACCCAAGTCTGAGCCAGAGGCAAGTTATGGGTCTCGCATACAACTGTTAACACTTCCAGAATCTCCGCAAGTGCGTTTTGGCGACTCTCATTGCATATCTGTGAATATAAAGTTAACTGAAAACAGTGAGAACCCAGTGCCTAAATGGTACCGACAAAAGCACAAAATGAAACTTGTATCTAACCTGAGTTGTTTGGTGATCAAGTATTTCCGAACTTTTCAGATTTACCGCCTGCAAGAATGACCAAATCTTTTTATAAAGCTCTGTACCAAAAAAAAATACTTCAAAGCTGCAGCAAATCACAAAACAGAGACTATCTGTAATACAACACAGTGACAGACACTGAAGAAACAATAACTATAATAGAAGCCAGCAAGACACTGATATGCATTTATTATTATTAGTAGCAAAGAATAAACAGTGGTTTTGAAGGAAAGGGCCTCAAAAATGGAAGGCCAGGAGTCTTGCAGAAACTTTTATCAACCGTTATCTCTGAATATAACTAATAAGGAAAGACTTGCAACTTATAAAATCAATCCCATCACACAGATTTCAAGGAGGAACAGAGCAAGGCTGAAGCATGAGCAGAAGTGAGGAAAGAGAACCAAACCTCAAGAGCTTTGCAAACTCTATCCACTTCAGGTGCATAGTGAATCTTCTCCGAGGTCATGATAAGTTCCACAACACCAATGCATGAATCACCCGAGAGATTAAACACAGGCAATGCCAGTGTACCACGAACGTTATAATGCAAAGCGTGGTCAAGCCTCGAGAACTCTTTGCTGGAATAGTACTGAACATTTGGTGTCCATTCAGGCAACTTCTGACGGAAAACCCGACCCGGAAGCCCGAGGTCAACGTCACAATCACTATCCACAGAAAACATATAGGTGAGAGAGATCATCCTGTATTGATTAAGGCTGTTACCGTTAGGATTAAGAATAAAAGGTTGACCCAAAGTCGTCAGAAAATCACGACCATTCTTTCTCACAGGAGCCCAGACCTGAGCCAAGACGTGCTGTTCGGTTGATTCTTTGAAGTAACGAAGCGCCTGAGTCATCCTCTCTTTGATCACACAGTAGTGGTCTGTGTTCTCTGACGGGACTAAGCTCATCAACGGAGAAGGAAAGTTGAAATTGCTATGTTTTTCTGTTGTGGTTTCAGCTACTGATGGAGAAGAATCTGCAAGATTCATAGCTTTAGTCAGGTCTAATACTTGAGTACAACTCTATTTTTAGCAACTGTACATAGAAACTCTAGAAATTTCTAACACTGTTAATTTGTGATCTGCGATCATATATTTTGTTCGTTCTTATCGCAGAATTCCAATCTTAAATTGCTAATTTAACGTGCTAAAGCTTTCAACAGTTTAAAACCACGATAATAAGCGATCATTTGCTGCAATCAATTACATGACAATCGCAGATGGCAGCGAGAGTAAACTAACAGAGCCACAATTTGCATAAAGAAGGATAAAACCTTAACAGTCAAATGTGAAATCAATCAACTAAAATATCTGTTCAATCCTTTTAGAACTTCAAATTTTAAATAATTCCATTCCGATAGCGAAATTCAAAACTCAGAGTCCACTATCAACATGTATCGGAGAAAAACTAAGTTTCAAATTCAAGAGATGTTAGTCAGGTCTACTATATTAGTACAAATCTATTTTTGGCAACTTACCAAAAATAGAAACAGGAGAAATTTCTCCAAAAAAAAACACACTCAAAAGTTGCAGAAAGTAAAAGGATAAAGTCAAACGCCAAAATCAAATCAGTCAAAACAAAAGCAAGCACGGACTTCCAAATTCAAGTCTAAAATCATTCCATCAAGACAGCAAGATTCAAAACTCGAGTATACGATCAAGCATGCTTAAAACAGATTAAAAGCTAAATGATCAAAATCAAGTTTGGGAGACTAACAAGGGAGGAAGAGAGGATAATCCGCGAGACGGAAAGAAGAAACACCGGAGGCTCCGCAGCTAATCTTCTCACCGTCGTATCCACCTGTAATTGCGTTGTTACCGGTCACTCCACCGTCAGAGAACGCCCAGAGAGGAGAGCAAGGCTGCTCGGAGGAAGAGGATATCATGCGATTAGACGAGGATAAGTAAGTGATTTGATCCAGAGGCCACGAACCGTCGAGTTCCAAGTCGTCTACATCCATCAGAATCTCCCTTGACCTTGACGGTGGAGGTGTGACGCCGTTTCTGGCGTTATTATCATCATCGGGCTCGCACATTTTTTATAGCAAGTTTGTTTATGGAATTTTCCCGGGAAAGTTGAAGTCTGCAAGTTTCTGGCTTTGGATTGGATAGAGATAGAGAAAGAGAAGGAGAAAGGTTTGATATGCAGGAGTGTGATTGATTCCATAATATCGCGGAATCAAACAAAATGAAAAATAATTCGAATAAAACAATTCGGATAATATAATTGGAACCGAGTCTCTGCTTCACAATACAACTGTACCCTCGGATATAAAAAGAAATTTATTATTATTCATCTAGATTTTATTTTCTTTAAACGGTTCGAGATTGAGAAAAATAATTAGAATAGCACGAAATTTTTTTTTTTGTCACAAATATATCACTTAAGATTAAAAATGTCTAAAATATCACTTAATGTTTTATTAAAAGAGATAAATATATACCTATATCCCAATGATAAATTAATTTAGACATTAGGATTTAGAGTTAATGGATAAAATTTAAGATTTAGGGTTTAGAGTTTAAGCTTTAGGCTTTAGAATTTAGGTTTTAGGGTTTAGAGCTAGGGAGTGTGGTTTGGGGATAAAATTTCAATTTTTGAAAAATAAAAATTTTTAAAATTTTTAAAAGATCAAATGCTATTTTCGCCATCTTATTTTTTTTAGGACTATTTTTTATGATATAAACTTAGAAATGTGTTATTTTGGAGATTTGTCATTGGAGATTTTATTCACTGGTTTTTTCATATGTATATCATCGTGGACAAGTTGAAAAAGGAAAAAAGACAACTAACAACAGAAAAAAAGATGTGTGACAAGAAAAATTATTAATTAATTTGGTATTTTATAAAGTATAAACTATATATCGTTTATTTTTATTTCGTAATTGTATATACGGTTTAAAAGATAACTAGATTTTGATCTGCGCTTTAAAAGCGCAGATATATTTTTACCATTTTGATAAAATTTATTTAAATTAATTACAAACACAATAATTTTAAAATTATTTTATTAATATTTAAAAAAATTCTATTATAATGTTTGATTTTCACGTAATGTTTCCATATCCGACCCAGATCCATAGTTGAACCGGTACATCCGGCAATTTTTATATAATCCAGTTAAGATGTAATTAAAAATTTACTAATTAAAAATTTAAGCCAACCCGGTATATATCTTAAAACCTGCTATTAATCTGTATTATGATATTCGTTGATCCGTTAAATAACCCCATAAAAACTGATAATATATTTTGAAAATTTTGTTAAATAATTCATATTTTTAATATTAAAGAAAATTGATTTTTTTGTAATTTCTTTAATAAAAACTTTCTTGTCATTTGAAAAAATGAAACAATGGCAATAGAAAAAAAACACAATTTATTCATATAACAATATTAATTTCTTTTCGTTATTAATAACCTATGATAAGTTTACATTTTTACTCATTTTATATCTAAAATTTAGTTTTTAAAACAAAATGAATTGACATATCATTATTATGGATAAAATGAAACAGTAAATAATAATTTATAATTTTGATCGCTAAATAATATGATGCACGGAAATATGATATTAAAATTAAATAGAAAATCATAATTTTCATAAAAGGAAATGTATTATTAATCACAAAAATAGGAAATATTACAGTTACCATAAATATAAGAGATATTAAATTGTTGAATTAATTAAGATTTTAAAAATAAATAGTGGTATTATCTTATAAATGTGATAAAAATCTAGGGGTAGAATCCAAAATTTTAACAATAGGATCCTGCTTTAATAGTATAGATAGGCATTAGTCTTATAAAATCTAGGGCCTAACTATAAACCATGTATAGTTCATTATGCTAAATATGATTATTGATTTGTGTATTTTAATAGAATCAGAAATTCAAACTAAAATTTTGCTAGTTTTATGATTTTAAAAGTGTTGACATCATTTGATATTAGTGTTTGTGATTTTTAAATCATTAGGTTTTACTTGGATTTGTATGCTTTTAATTAATTAAATACATAAAAGAATATACCTTCTAATATGTAAAATTGATTACATTATCGTTAATATTATCAGTCATGTTTTTGCCACAAATATGATTTAGCTCATATAGCATTGTACTTTGTCAAATCTGAGGGCTGCATTTTACGACACGTTCAGCACACTCATGGTGAGAATGCACCAATCAGTTAGCCTGGAAAATTGTAAAAGTTTAAGATGGTGCGCAAAATACAACTGAATTATTACGTAATGCCTTTTTGAGATTAGTAACGGGAGTTGAGAAGTGGAAAGACAAATCACAGGCCCACCTGATTCTTTTGGAATTAGTGCGATTCAGTAGTTATTTGACAATTTTTTTTGTTCTTCTTACACGTTTGTTTTGTCTTTTATTTTGATGGATTAGTTACTTCAATACTATTAAAATAGAGTTTTTTTTATCTACTATAAACAAATTTAAACAGAGCCACTTGACTAGTTACTTAGTATAACATATTTGATTATTTATATTAATCAATCAAATATATATCAAATATGTCTGATTTAAATTTTCTTTTAAGTTATAACAAAATCAGTTGAGAAAAAATTTCACAAAATCTTACTAAAAGTTCAAATATTGATTTTATAAAATAACACAATAATTATTTCGGAATTAATACTATAATACTATTATATATTAATTATTGTATTATAAAACAGAAATAAAATGTATTTGTTTTAGCGTATTTTTTAATGGAACACGAAAAACAAATACTATTCTAAAAAAATAGTATAATATTTTGAAATATTAATTGAATAAAATAAATCAGAGAACTTAATACCATAACATCCAAAAAAAATTATATTGATAAAACTTACTAAAATAATATCATAGATGCTACAATGTATAAAATTTATCAAAATAATGTGGCTAAATTAGTTAAGAAAAATAATATATATATATATATATAGATATTTATACAATTTAAAATATACTAAAACTATATATGTGAAAATTATATTTTAAACACAAAATATAAATATAATTAGCTTAAATAAATATTATTTTATAATAGCTAAATAAAATTTGAAAAATTTAAATGCAACTTATAGAAATTTATTAAAATAATATTCTAAAGGAGATTTCTGTTTGATTATTTCAAATTATGAATTTATTTTACTTATGCGAAAATATATTAGCATGTATAAAAAGCAAAAAAAAAATCTATATTAATAATGTTGGATAACAAAGTAAAATGTAAAAAAATATTATCTATTAATAATGTTGAATAGAAACCTAAAAAATAAGATTACAGAGTTACATATATAATATAGCACAAAAATTTAATATATATTTAAAAATAAAAAATATACTGCACGCATGTTCGGATCAATACTCTAGTTACGTTTTTAAAATTGCATACAGTTATTTAGAGATGTCAAAAGCCATATGGTGGTACTTCCTCGTAGCTACTGCCTCTGTTCATTTTAGTTCAGCTTAAAGTATTTGAACAAAGATTAAGTAAATACAAATTTTTATATACTTTATATTGGTTACATACAATATCATTAAATAAAATATAGCATTTTGTAAGTGATCATAAATTTCAAATGGTACTAAATTTTATTAAGAGTATTGAAAATATCATTTATTTTGCAACAAACAGAATTCGTTACATATCAAATAAAGTGAAATGGAGTATATTAATACAATTTTTTTTTGTAAACACATTATGGGTCAAAAATCTTTGTTTGAAAAATAGTTGGCACAAGATGATAAAGTCATATAAGATTAGGTAATTGTTATGGAATATTTTGACACTTGTAATAAACATATTTATTTCAAGCAATATTAAGAAATGCTCAACTTGATAAGAATGACACGGTAGTTGACCAAAAAAATGCCTAGGTGAGTTACAAAATTAAAAATGGGATGTAACTAGGTTATTTTTCGTACCAAAATATTTATTCTGAATTAACAATACATAGACATTTTCTAACCGAATAAAAGCATCAGTAGTTATGATACAAAATCAGTAGAGCTAAAACCTGTTGACTAAACCAACATTTCACATCAATAGTTTGCTAAAAAATAAGAAAACTACATTAAAAACAAAATAAAACCTAAGCAAACGATGCAAACTTTTTTTTTTTAACAATCATTTTATTTATAAGAATTGTAAGATTACAAAGAAAATAAAAAAAAATATGTAACCAACTGTAAATTTAAAATGAATAAAATATAATACAACAGATAAAAAAAATTGAAGGAAATTTCTACTGAACCATCATTTTGAAATAGAATTTTTGATGTGATTACATTCAGCAATCATACAATCGATGAAATTTTAAACTTTCCTTTAAGACTTTTTTGTTGTATAATATTAGCCAAATTCCAGTTTAGGTCTATAGATATCCCCATCCATAAGTTGAGAATTTAACATATTGATTATTTCGAAGAAACAAAGATTGAACTTGTCAATTTTTAACGATTCTAAAAATACCGTTACATCAAAAAAAATGTTCCTCTAATCTCGATTATTGAAACCTCTATCCATGGTGGTTTATTGGGGTTTCGATAGCGGTTATTTTCAGAGTAAAACGATTATGATAAGTGTTTTACCACCTAAATTTGGATGCAACACAAACATGATTATTTTGTCATTGACCATGGCCAGAACCGTCCCTGGATGGAAGCCAAGGAAGCTTCTTCAGTAGCAGAATGGTTGGGTTGGTGTAATGAGGATTTACAGGTCATGGGTTTGAATACTACGGCCACAAATTTTTTTTTCTGCTTCTAGCCATATAATTACTAGGACCGGCACTGACCATGGCTCCATAATCCATCGCAAAAACATATCTATTGAAAAGAAAGAAAAAAAACACGACACAAATAAAACGAAGAGGAAAGTCCAGAATCTAAAGGAACATGCAATAGTATCATTAATCCTCAACTAGTATAATTAGGCAACGAATAAAATAAAGGTTAAAATCTTGATACGGGTTCCACTTTCGATAGTTTCTATTCTATGATTATGGAAACCATTTATTTCAACCATGAA